GGGGGGGGGGGGGGGGGGGGGGGGGGGGGGGGATCAAAAGGGCGGGGGGGCCCGGGGGGGGGGGGGGGGGGGGTTCAAGTCCTTGCCAGCCCAGGTGGGGCCCATGACTGCCCTCCCCACCTCAGTTTTCCCACCATTGTTCATGCTCCAGAGGAGGCAGGAGAGGCTGTGGGGGTGCAGGGGCTGCCCAGGTCCACAGGGACCCCTGTTCTGGCTTCCCAGCGCCCTTCATGGCTCGCTGCTGTGGGCCATCTCCCACTCACTCTGTCATTCCTACCCACCCCCCAGGAGATTGAGGGGCTAACATAAAAGGGGCAGTGGGGGGGAGGAGGTGGGCATTGCGGTCCTTGAGAGCTGCCTGCAAACTGAGTAAGAAAAGCTGCTCCTCCTGCCCCTGCCCATTGGGAGGAGGCAGTCCTGATGGTGGCTGCATTGACACAGATGTGCCCTGAGGAGCATCCAGCAAGGCCTCAGTTGCCATGGTGACGCTGACTCAGAGGCAGAGGCTGGTAGCGGCATTTGGTACCCAACCAGCCCACCCCTGCTTGGCCTGAGCTTACAGCACCCTGCCCAGCCCCCACCCTTCAGCCTCTACCTTGGGGGCTTCTTCTGAGGTTGCAGAGGGTTGGGTGAGACCCGAGGGTGGCAGACAGGTTCCTCCACTGACCCCCCATCTAGTCAACTGCTGCAAGTTGGGAGATGCTGCTTTTTATCACACTGACCTGAGAGCCCATCTACCAACCCACCCACCCATCTGTCCACTCATCCACCCATCCACCGATCTAACCATCCATCCATCCATCCATCCACCCAACATTTATGGAGCACCTACTGTGTGTGCAGGGTATATTGTTTAGGGGGCAGGATGGTCCCCTCTGCTGGTGCAGTCAGGGTATCAGAAAGGGGTATGGGGTGGGGGGACTCAGGCGAGGATAAGGCCTCCAAGGCCACTTGGGCCAAGGCCTTGAAATGCTGAGGACCCATCTCTTCCTTGTGCTCCCAGTCTCTCCCTGCATCTCTCTGTTTTTCCATCTCAGAGTACATCTTAGACCCTTCTGCACACCTCCCAGGCCCCACAGCAGCTGCTATCTGTCCCCCTGCTCTTTCCCCCTCTTTTGTTCCACTTCAGCCATACCAGGTTTCCCTCCGGTACCCCAACTTATTTCCACCTCAGGGCCTTTGCATGTGCTGCTCTACACGCTGCTGCGTGGATGGAGTGTGAACCTCGAAATGTGATGCTGAGCAAAAGAAGTCGGACACAAGAGGCCATAGGATGTATGGTTCTATTTATACAGAATGTCCAGAACTGGGCTGGCCGGTTAGCTCAGTTGGTTAGAGCATAGTGCTGGTAACACCAGGGTCCACCATTTGATCCTGTACTAGCAGCCACCAAAAATAAAAATAAAATAAAATACCCACAGCAGGCAAATCCATAGAGACAGAAAGCAGACTGGTGGTTAACTGGGGGATGGGGATGGGGAGCAGGGAGTGACTGCTGATGGGGACAGGGTTTCCTTCTTTTGGGGGGATGAGAATGTTCTGGAACTAGACAGAGGTGGTGGTTGCACAACACTGTGAATGTACTGAAAGCCACTTAGTTGCGCACTTTTGGGACTCTTACTACAATTTTTTAAAAAAGACGTTAGGTAAAAACTAAGGAAATCTGAATAAAATATGGACTTCAGTTCATAAAAACACAATGTAAAAGAAAACGGCTTCCTAAGCGTAAGTGTCAGAAGTCAGGGAGTCCAGCCCTCTGAACGTGTCCAGGCTGACTCATGCTACCTAAGAGAGGAGGAGGAGGGAGCTGCCTGACGGGCACCTGCTGTGTACCAGCCTGTGCGGAGTCCCTTGTCACCCTGTTAGCCGGCCAGCTAGCTGTGCTTCCAACACACTGGCTCAGACTTGTCTAAAGGCCTTTGCACCTGCTGTTGGCTGTAGCTGGAGGCCTCAGGTGACTGTGATACTGGATCCCACCCCTGCCAGCCGAGCTGCAGTCTGATTCCATTTGTTTCCCCAACCCCACTTACCTTAGGCCACCAGAAAGGTCAAGGTTCTTGGTGGTTAGGACAGAGTTGACCACTTCTCACTCCTTGGGGCCATAGAGGCCATGGAATGAGCCTGTGTGACCAGAAGGCTGAGCACCAGGCATGACGGCAGGACATTTGGATGTCTGGGAAGGGATAGTCCACCCCCTGGGGAGGGAAAAGGACCTACAACCTATTTAGGGTCTCGCAGCAAGTGGGTGGGCAAGGAGGTGGAATTCAGCCCAGCTGGGGACCTGTCCGAGGGGCCTGCTTATGGCCAGCTCATCC